TGGAAATCCAAAATCTCTGTAAATGCTCATTAAAATGAATTAAAAAATTATAATAATGAAAAAAGTAGGGAATGGACTGCACCCCCCCCCCCAAAAATAAGCACCAAATTCAAGCCACGGTGGCAATACTTAAGGATACTTTGGGTAGAATGTTAAATGATCCAAGAAACATTAAAAGAAGGTGGAAGAAGTACACAGAGTCACAATTATCAGAAGGAATTGGCTGACACAGAAGAATCATGAAATAACATATGAGCAAGAGCCTATGGTGATGAAGGAGGAAGTTCAAATTGCTCTGAAGGAATTGGCAAAAAACAAGTCTCCAGTAGTTGATGGCATACCAATTGACATATTTCAACAAACAGATGCTGCCCTGGATGTGCTAAGTTGTACCAAGAAATCTGGAGTACAGCCAGCTGGACAACTGAATTGAAAAGATCGATATTTGTTCCCATTCCAAAGAAAGGTGACCCAACAGAGTGTGGAAATTATCGCACAATATCATTAATATCACATACAAACAAGATTTTGCTGAAAATTATCAGAAAATTATTGGAGCAATATGTCAACAGAGAACTGTGAGCAGTGCAGGCTGGATTTAGAAGAGGTCGTGGTACTAGGGATATTATAGCTAATGTTAGATGAATCTTGGCAGAAAGCAGAGAATACCAGAGGAATGTCTGTTTGTGCTTCTTTGACTATGAAAAGGCTTTTGACTGTGTGGATCACAACAAGCTATGGCTGACTCTGAGAAGAATGGGAATCCCGGAACATTTGATCGTGCTAATGCGAAACCTATACTTGGACCAAGAGGCAGTTATCAGAACAGAGCAGGGAGACACTGGATGGTTCAAAATCAAGAAAGGGGTTCGTCAGGGATGTATTTTGTCTCCATACCTTTTCAATCTGTATGCAGAACAGATCATCTGAGATGCTGGGCTGTACGAGGAGGAATGTGGCCTCAGGAGTGGTGGAAGAGTCATCAACAACCTGCGTTATGCAGATTACACAACCCTGCTTGCTGAAACTGAGAAGGACCTGAGGAGCTTGCTGCAGAAAGTCAAGGACTGCAGCCTTCAATATGGATTGAACATCAAGAAAACAAAGATTCTCACCACTGGACCAATTGGCAGCATAAATATGGATGGTGAAGAGTTTGAGATAGTTAACCGTTTTAGTTTATGTGGTTCCACAGTCAACACCCTTGGTACTGTTGTTGTTGTTGCTGTTGTTGTTGTTTGATGCCGTCGAATCGTAGATGACTCATAGCAACCCTATGAATGAATGGCCTGAGCACTGTTTGTACATAGTTTCTGGAGGCAAGCCATTTTGGAAGTGGATGCTGCTCCTGCTTCCAGGCTTGATTTAGTCGGAAAACTCCAGCCAACACTTTCCACCATGGGTACCCATTACCATGATTGGCACATCACTGTCATAGTCTTCAGCATCATAGTAACCATGAGTTACCTCTATACAGCAATGCACATACCAGTGCTATACCAACTAGAAGAATGTTTGACAGGAAAACAATTTGAACCTGGCTGAGGGCCACTCTTGGTACTAGCAGCCAAGAAATCAAGAGACTAATTGAATTGGGAAAGTCAGCTTTCAGGGACCTGTACAGAGTACTGAAGAGCAATGATGTCAGGCTGGAGACTAAGGTGCACCTGACCCAGGCTATAGTCTTCGCAATTATGTGCTATGCATCAGAGAGTTGGACAGTGAATAGGGATGCTAGAAAGATAATTGTTGCCTCTGAGCTGTGGTGCTGGAGAAGAGTGTTGAATATGCCACAGACTGCTAGGAGAACAAACAGGTTTGTCCTGGAGAGGGTGAAGCTGCGCTGCTCTTTGGAGTCAAGGATTCAGAAGCTTCATCTGACATACTTTGGGCATGTTGCAAGGAGGGACTGATCCTTGGGAAGGAATATCATGTTTGAAAGAGTGGAGGGATGGCTCAGGAGAGGAAGACCCTCAATGAGATGGATCAATTCTGTGATTGGGGTGGTGGGAATGAGTGTGTCATAGACGGCAAGGTTGGCACAGGATAGAGCAGTGTTTAGGGCTCTTGTACACAGTGTTGCTATGAGTCGCAAGTGACTCGATGGCACATAACAACAATAATAACAACAACAATTAGTATCTTTAGAAAGAGAAGAAGAGATATTGTAATCATATAATACAAATAGGATGTTATAAAAAGAGACATTTTGAGAACAAAAGAAGTTATTATATATGACATAAAAATATTATAGTTGAAATTTTAAATCTAACAGAAGGATGAACGTGAGAAAATCTCCTAGAAAGCTTAAAACAAAAAAACCAACCCAACAAACCATGCTCAAGAAAAGCGTAGAAATAGGAGGTGGTGGGAGAAGTTAGAAGAACTGGAGGAATTCCAAGACACCCAACCTGGTAGCAGTTCCAGACAAAAAGATATAGATGTCATAAAGGGCAAGGCTGGCAATTGAGTTAAATCTAAGACTGGTTTCTGAACTGAAAATTATGAGTTTCCAGAATAAAAGAGCAGGACAGTTTTATTTTCTATATTGCTGGTTTAGGAAAAAACTCCTGTAAATTAGTATATGTTTGAACCACATACACATATAATTTTATTTATTTTAGAAAAGTAAATTTAAAAGAAAAAAGAAAAGGAAATGAGGTGATCCTATACTTCATAAACCACATGCCATTTTTGGTTTCTATTGGTGATTAATTCTGTCTTTTCCCATTCCATATGAAGAATATAAACCAAAAAGAATATGTGAACATGTTGAACAATCATTACATCTTCAGGCCTAAATAGAAATTGACTTACTGTTTTTGTGTTGACTTAAAAATCATATTAGCCTCACTACAGACAATTTCTAACTTGTTGGTCAGTGCTTGCCCCAGCAGAAAGAGAGCTATCCCAGTAATAATTCCTATGTAAATTCAGTTTATTAGAACTTCTAATGCTCCTTTCTCTCCATCTTCTGGAAAATTTATAGGATTGTACTTCTTGTTTTCTTCTGAAGGACAGGACTCTATAACCAGCTCTGTCAGTCGACTAGGATTAGAAGGATGATCACATGTAATCACTGACACCAGATCCTCCAGATACCCCTTTTCTCTACACCTTCAAGATGGCAGCAGCTACATCAGCATGGGTCCCTAAGGGATGAGCAGAGCCTCAGTTTTCATATTTGGTTGTTATTTTTCTCCTGAAGTATAGTTGAATCTTTCCTAACAGATAAACCCAGGGGATGCTGTTACAGATTTGATTGTGTTCCCCCAAACACATGTTGCAAACCTCATTACTATACCTAAGGCTAGGGAACTCTGCTGGCAGAGTGATAAGGAATTGCACTGCTAATTCAAAGGCAGGCAGTTCAAATCCACTAGTTGCTGTGAAGGAGAAAAATGGGCAGTGTCCTCTCCTATGATTTATAGTCTCCGAAAACTCACTGGGTGGAGGGTCAACTAAGCATAGGTTCTGACTTGACAAGAAGGAAAATGAATTGAATGAGAATGATTGTAGTCCTCTTTGGTAATTTGATTTTCTTTGTTTTGTTAATGAGGTTTGATCAAGTGTGGAGTGTGTTCCAAACCTAATTACATCTGCATTTTAAGGAGCCACGCAGACACAGAAGCAAAGCACAAACAGAAATGTAAAGGGCTAATGGAGGCAAACAGAAGCACATGTGAGGATCCCTAAGGCCAGACAGAGAGGAGTCTCTTTCCTCTGATCAAAAGAGAGATAGCCTTCTCTCAAGCTGATGCTCTGAATTCAGACTTTTAGCTTCTCAAACGGAAAATATTAATTTCTGGTTTTTTTTAAAGCCACCTGCTGTGGTATTTCTGTTACAGAAACATTGAGAAATTGAGATAGATGTTACACTTAGCACACATAATGCAGTCCTTGTCAACAGAATTCCACCAACTACCCTTCAAGGAACAAGAGCTGAGTTCGCTCACCTGCATAAGTGTGAGGGATGAGCATTCCAGCTGCGACGTCACTGGTGGTGTTGGGAGTAAACTTGTCTGAGATCACGGTGATGGAGCTCTGTGGGACCAGTTTGGAAATACACAGAGCAGTGGAGAGACCAATCACTCCGGCTCCCACCACTGCAACCCGCACTGTATCCATGGGCCTGCTGGGAGGAAAAACGGGCCTGTGAACCCTGGTTGTAGGATTATTTCACATAGTATGATGTCTGGTCCTGAAGTGCCTTCCCCTATATTTAGGTCTGTAATCTCTCAACAGCCAATATTTCCCATAGGCATTTGTCATGGAATAAAGAATTCCCTTTAAGCTCATCTTTCTATTAAATGTCAGGGTAAGGACAGCAAGCCCTCTGTGGGGGTTTAAGTATTAGCTCAAAATCAGGTTAGTTTGATCCTTAGAACTCACAGCAGAGAAGTTGGTATGTATGTTAAGGAAGATGTCTGCCCCTTCATCACACATTTTTCCCCATGAACATAAGGCAATGTTGATGAATAAAGTAAGAGAAACAGAGAAGAACAACAGATCTGCAGCCTCTGCCCCATGAACCAGTTCCTGAGAGGGCACCACCCATGAGCAGTGCAGAACTCAATCCCTGCTGTTTAGAAACTTGTTAACAAATATGTCTGAAGAATATCGGTGTTACCTTGAAAAGCGGAATACAATAGCAGCAGAACTGAGGCAACACATAACTGTTAACACCGAATATTGCTTCGATGAAAGTAGAGAAGAAAAAGTGTAGTAGCATCTCTTGCATGGATTGCATCATATTGTTTCTTGTCAAAAAGAATCTGGCATTCCAAGGCCACAAGGAAGATGAGTTTTCATTTCATTGAAATGAAATTCTTAAAATGAATTTGAATTGAAATTCTTAAAATTTTCATTGAATTGAAATGAAATTCTTAAAACAGCTGAGATGCTTGCAAAATATGATCTACTACTCAAAGAGTATTTTCTTAGCTATCTAGTGGTGCTATGGCAGAGATACCACAGATGGATAGTTTTAACAAACAGAAATTTGTTCTCTTACAGTTTGTTGTTGTTGTAAAAGGTCCAGTGAGAATTGACACATAGCTGACCCTCCAGTGGGTTTAATGAGAGTTGACACATAGCTGACCCTCCAGTGGGTTTAGTGAGAATTGACACATAGCTGACCCTCCAGTGGGTTTAGTAAGAACTGACATATAGCTGACCCTCCAGTGGGTTTAGTGAGAACTGACACATAGCTGACCCTCCAGTGGGTTTGTATCTGGTGGGTTTGAGTCGCATGCCTTGGAGATTGCCATGCAGTTTCTTACCACTAGGCCACCAGAGCGTCCTCTTATGTTTAGGAGGCTAGAAGTTCAAATTCAGGATGCTAGTTCTAGGGGAAAGGGGTTGTGTGTGTTGGTTTGGAGGAAGGTCTTTCAGCATCTAGAGACCTGTAGATCTTTGGGAATCCCCATGTGTCTTGTCCCCAGTGTTGAGAAACTCTTGTGGAGCTCTGAGTCTGATAGGATGCACTTCAGCCCTAGCAATTGTTTCTTTTCTTTTTCCTTTTTTTTTTAAATTAATCTTAATGAAAGTTTACAGAGACTTAGGGATTCCATTCATTCATTATTGAACTTTTCTCCTTGCCCACAATCTCCCCCCACCACATTTGCTCTTCTCTTTGAAAAAAAAAAAAACACCAAAATTCTTTCACTGTTATACAATCCCTCCCCACAAGTCCACTCCACTGTGCGGCCTTCATTCTTGATGGTACTGAGATCTCTCCTCTCAGCTTTCTTTCCTCCTTTTCATGTCTTGGCAGATAAAAAGTGCTACAGACAACACCCTAGGGAAGTTTCCTCTCTATTGGATCAGTCCTGTAATGCAATTAAGGTGTGTTGCATTCCACCTTGGACACTCTTTCCTACAACTCTTTGACATATCAGACCATAGTGATCATTACCTAGTTTCCACATTATATCATTACATATACGTATTTTCCAAAGAAGGATGGGCAATATCCTCCTGTATGATTGATTAACTGCCTCTAAAAATCCACAAGAGAGTCAGCTATGTGTTGGTTCTGACTTGAGGGTACTCAACAACACCATATGTATTCTTGAGAAATACAATTTAACCCATGACAAGCACCTAATGAGATTAAAACAGAGTACATGTAGACTTAAACAGTCAATCTCTTACTTTGCACCAAAAAATCAGAATGAGTTTATGAGTGCCTGGGGAAGGCATGTGAAGGAGAAGCTTGTGGACATAAAATCTGAAAACTGCTTTGTGTTCATGTTTAACAATGCACTTGACTTCAAATACTGGCCAGATGTTCAATGTGATGAGCTATGTAAAAATCAACAGGAAAGTTGAAGTGAGACATCATTCTAGGATTTATTTTGCTTTAAAAGAAAAAAGAATGATGCTAACCTCAGCTGTGAATTCTTAAAAAGCTGGAAAATTATGGACTGGACTGGACTGGACATAATGATTTGCTGGAGTTAAGGCTGTGATAATGGTGTGACTATGACCTGACGTCCATTGAGATGGACAAGCCATTTTCAAGGGAAAGAACAAGCAATGAATGTGTGAACCATTGACTTAACCTGTATAGTCAATACTCTTTCGCTGACCTTTTTTTAAAAAAAAACCCAAAAGACACCACAAACCAACACAGCTCTTGAGATGTTTTCTTCCATGCTACTCCCACTCATCTATAAAGTACCCTAATTGACAACACTGGAGTGCTGGTGAAAACTCCATCAACACCACACTGGAATGTTCCTCGTGCTGCAATCAGGCCAGTTAAAGAGAAACCAGGAGCAAAAGGGTGGATCAGATCTAGGGGGATAGCTCACCTGTCTTCTTACTGTCTCTGCTATTTCATTTCAGTCCCTCCTGCCTAGAAACTGTCTCAAAAAAGCACCAATAGATTAAGTTCAGAGGAGAGAGTGGCTAAGAATTAGCAGTTGCTATAGGGAGGTGACTAGTGGTGGACTAGAGGAGCTAACAAGGTGGGCAAGTCCTATGACCAGTGAACCCCTGAAATATGGTCCCATTAAGACACCCTGGAGCCCCACAGTACGTACAGAATGACGGAGAGTAGCAAGCAGGAGGAGAAAACACCTGACTCAAAAGAAAAAACACAGCCTTGGAATACACCGAAGGCTCTGGCAGCAGAATTTGTTTTCCTAGTGAGTGGTTGGTCTAATACCCTGAGAGAGAAAGAAAGAAAAAAGCAAAGCTGTTTCCTATTGGGGAGTTTACTAAGGACATTCCCTCTAATCTTACTCTTCATTGGCCCGTATGCCTGTGCCTGTGGCACTCATTGCCCTGGAGAAAGGAGCAAGTGACCTCATCTTGCAAGCTCAGTGGAGCTGGTGTGTGTCTACCAGAGCCGCTGGAGCTGGCTCATACTCAACAGCACTTTCCTCTCCAACTCACTGACAGCTGAGGTTTCTCTAGCAGATTTATAGGTGGAGTACGTAGCGGCAAGACTGTCCAACAACACCCAGCAAGTTCTGGCTGGAAGCAAACACACGTTCCACATTTGACTGCTGGGTTTAACCACCTGACTCCCTCTGCATGTCTGGCTCTGCTGAGTCAGGAAGTGGGGACAACAGGGAGTGAGAAGATAGTGAAATCACTGATCACAAAAAAAAATTGCAGTTGAAATAAATCCCTCAGGAAGTAATCTAGGAGAAAAAGCATATGGTTCTTTGGTTTACGTATTTAAAGACAGAAATCAATCTTGGCTAAATGTCTGCTATGTCCATAAATTCAACAAGTTTATTCTCAGGGAGGCAATTTGATGTAGCAAAATAATGATAATATTGTTGCTAGAATGCATTTTGCACTGATCATGTGCAAAACCAGACACATGCATGACACATCATACAACAGCCCTGTGAGGTGTGTACTATTATGGAGTTCTGGTGGCCTAGTGGTAGGAAACTGCGCTGCAATCCCGAAGGCATGTGGTTCGAGGACGGGCAATCTTTTCCCATGTGATTAACTGCCTCTGAAAGCCTGCCGGAGGGTCAGTTACAGGTTGGTTCCGACTCTACAGTACACAACAACAACAACTATTTCATAGATGCAGAATGCAGCAACAATGATTCAATGTTATAATGCTTACCATCCATGCAGGTCCTGGGGCTTGACTCCTGACCTCTATACCTTCTGCTCAACACTACCCAACTGTCCGTGGTTTGTGTGTTTTGATGAGGTTGAGCAGATTTTGGTGGTGATTCTAGATGAAGACGGACTAAGAAGAAAGGCCCAATGTTATACTTCCAAAAATCAGCCTATGAAACACTTAGCTCACAACAGTATGACCTACTCCCAAGCATAGGGATAGTATAGGACTGGATAGTGTTTCATTGTCCTCGTTAAGGCCAATGCAATAGCAGTTAACAATGAAGATGAGTAAATTGAAGCTACATCTGCCTAAGGAAACACCCAAGTTTTTATAACAGCTCCTAAATGCCAAAGGCTAGTCTGAGTGTCAGACTCCAAGGTGAAAGTGCTTAGCTAAAGGATGTCCAAATGGCCAAGGTAAAGACTGAACAGGACCACCAGCCAGACTGTCTTTGGCTGAGTGGTGGAACAGCACACACAGCACAAGGATACAGCACTGTTACAACCCAGGCAGGGCTCGGTAGGATGGCATAAGTGGGACATATTGTTGTTAGCTACAACTCACAGCCACCCTGTGAATAAGATATGTGAACTTGGCCCCCCCTATCCCGTACCAGCCTCATGATCTCTGTCATGCTCAAAACTGTTGTGCTATCTTTATATGTTCCACTTCATTTTTTACAATTTCCAATTACCCTAGATTTATACTTCAAAGTAGGATGCGTATATGTTATTTCACTTACTCTTTAAAATCTCATTGAAAAGATTTTATTATTACATGGCAGGTGGTTCTGATGGTAGGACTAAGAGTGTGGATGCCTGAGTCAGCAGAAGAAATGTGGTTCTTGCATGAGTGGAGAAAGCAGAAAGAATAGTTTCTTTAGAAACTATTCTCTAGAAAGACTAGGACTCCAGTTCAGTGGTGGTGGAAACTTCCAGATCTTTGGATAAATTCTCCCTTTTGCTCCACCAATCCTTCTGACTTAATTCCCTGACTAATTTTCCTGTCTAAAATAGAGCAGGTTACC